AAAATTTACTTCGCAAATATCCGCGTTATAAAATAAAATGATGTGTCTTACCTAGTATGAAGAAGCACCTCCCGCCCTCCCTCAATTGCGTGCACTAACCCCGTCACCACTAATCCCAGCACCGCTACTCCCAACACCACTACGCTAAGCTTAGCGGTTAGCCACCGTAGAGTCTATATCACCTGAGGATGCCTCGTGTAGAGGCGAAACACGTGTCGTATTATCGTCAGTGGTGTGTCTTGCCTAGTGTAGTGGTGTTGGGAGTAGCGGTGCTGGGATTAGTGGTGACGGGGTTAGTGCACGCAATTGAGGGAGGGCGGGAGGTGCTTCTTCATACTAGGTAAGACACATCATTTTATTTTATAACGCGGATATTTGCGAAGTAAATTTTTGTAAAAGCTTTTATAATAGAACTCAAATAAATGTGCAATGCAATTATAGATGATAATTATTCTTTTGAATGAGTTTATCGCTCCAAGCTATTTCTTATTTGTTTTGTGTAGTTAATTGTGTACCATAATACCTAAGTATATATGATTGTAAACTTCGTTCCGTCGTTCCGCTGGGTTTCTTGTTGTTTTTCGCAGACATTCAATATGTATTATTTAAATATAAACTATATTGAATAAAAAAAGAATTAAACAAATTTTCAACAGGAAAACGTAATCTACTCTTACATAAATTAAACACGCGTTCATAACTAATCGTGGCAGATATTCGCGGCCATATCGCAAACGGCCTCGGCGTCAAGGTGAGGGCTCCAAATTGGAGGCCGTGTCCTTTATCCGAGGCCAAGTTCATTCAAACCTTCGAACGAGGACGCAGCCTTGGAACAAGGACGCAGCCTTTGAACAGGACATAGCCTTGAAGCGATGACATAACCTTCAATATAGCAAGGTTATGAAAATTTATGAAACTTCATTATTAAAAATAGACATAGGTAGGTATCTAACTTTAATGATTTTTTATGTTTACGCGAACACTACACATTCATTTAAACTAGTTTTTACGGGTTACAAAACAATACGCAATAAAATCCGTAAAAATTAGTTTTGTTTAGAGATAACCTTGCAATAAAGATTTAGTATATTTTCTATATTATTTTCTATTACAATTTCTATTGTAATAAAGATTTTGTACACTATCTAGATAATCGTTTTTAATAATATATTTCAAAAATTGTTTGTCTATTTATTTTCGCACATACCTACGCAGTCCACTTGATGGTAAGCGGATGTTGTGGACCAGACACCTACATCTATCTTCGATGAAGGATCAAAATTTAGATGCTTTATCATCACTGAGGACTAAGATACAATGCCTCATCAACATTTAAAAGGTCTCCATTTGTTTTCAGTCACCAAACGAAACACAGCAACATTGGGCTGTTATAATTAGCCGGGTATACCCACCTAGCGCACAGGCCCGCGCGGAAGCCTGTGTGCGACTCAAGAGCGAAGGCATCCTAAGTATTTTACGGAACTCAGAGGCATGCCGAGGCCGAGGCCGAGCCATCATAAGTCCTCGAGCATCCGAAATGTACAGTTGTGTAATTGCAGCTGCAGCTACTTTCCTAGTTTCATATTGTTTAAAAAACGAAAACAGTCTTTTGAATCCCACATCTTGTACGTACCGCTGGAAGTTATGACTTTAGTTGGATACTAGTACAGTCTAGAACAATCAGTGACGTAGAAATAGAGCCCAGAGCGGAATTTTAAGAAATACAAGTCAGCTCCGATCCTAATCTTTTTAAATTTTTAGTCGATCTGGATAGATATCACCCTCTTACATATTCTCTGCTGTGTTCAATCTGAAAGATATAGAGAGACAGTATTCTTAAATAGGCTGTGACGCATTCAATCTTAGTCCTCGTAGGTGACAACATTTAAGTAGCCTAGTTTTTAAATTGGTTAAGGTGTCTAAACTGCAGTAGCCACTTACCTTCAGGTAGACTGTTACACCTTTTATCACACTAATATTTGAAAAAAAAATACATCAGTGGCCTAAGCACAAGTTTTTCATCGTATCGAAATCGTAAATTTTTTTATACGTGGTAGAGCCATGCTGCAGCTATATTAGTAGTATAGTTGTAGCACGAATGGGTCGGCTCAACCGGGTAAGGACTACGCTCTCACAGAATACCAGTGTAAAATAGCAGCTCACTAACTGTGTTTCATCATATGGTGCGTGTAGAGAACCGGAGACCCTTTTTACAGGAAAAGAGGCATTACATCTTAGTCCTCACGGGTGACAACGCATCTGCATTTTGATTCTTTATTGAGGATAGATGTGGATGTCTATGGGTCACAGCAACCACTTACCATCAGGTGGACTGTGTACTCGTTTGTCACCCTATCTTATTATAATAATAATAATTAGCGTCATCGAGCGACTTTGTGATAAAACATAGTTCCACATACATCCGCCAGGCGCGCTGTTGATATTTATTTATTATTATTATATTATATTAGAGAGAATCCATGTAATTTTTCTGCCACCAGGTGAAATATTTGACAATTTCATATCGGGGGAAGCAAATTTGTTAGAAGTGTAGATTAAACCTTTCTAAAATATTTATTTTATTTTATTAGACTTGCAACGAATATATGTACAGTTTTCGGCCTCTTTTATTTCGGTCGAATACCGAATACTTAAGTAAGAGGTTTTATTGTAGTCAGATAATTGGTGAAATTAAAATATATTTTTTTTCTTATAATCATTATAGTAGTCATAGGTACATAATCACCTTCCATATTATAAAAATTAAAAAAGAACTATCAGATAAATTCTATGCACTCGAATTATCGTAATTAATAAGGTATTGTTTTGTGTATACTATTATATACACTGGAAACTGAAAATCTTTAATTTAAAACGCAACTTTTCAATGATGCTGCCACTGCCATCATTTCGATGAAAAATAAAATCATATTAGTCCCCCTAGCCAACTAGCGCCATCTGGTGAGCGTAAGATTATAAGCTCTCATTCATCTAGATAACGATACGAAAACGTTAGTCAAAAACTTGTTGTAAGGTCACTGGTCCAGACGCTGATAGTTATTACGTGATCGAGGATGAGACAAACAAAGAAAACTACAAGTTAGTGTAAATTATTTTTATTAAAATTTCAGTCTCTTTAAATGAGTTCCAAACATACTACAACGTATATCTTGAACTCTTCAAATTCACAGCTATATACAATGTTAACAATATATACTATTGTATACATTATTACGTCAGGGTAGAAAAACAATACAAAAGCAATTCAAATTAAAACAACACCACATCCTCGTCTTGATTTATTTGAGATCTGTATACGTAGGTACAAACAAAACTACAAACGTATTATGTCTATGTACGTATATTGTGTCATAGGTATTAATTAACATTATAACGGCGTGTCACAAAAGTCAAAATTACTACACTTCAAGTTTTCGTACAACAAAATTTATTTCTAATGTCCTATTCTTAATAATTGTTACAGAAAAAAGTTTTTATATCGTCAAGAATACAAAACAATTTTAAAAACTGTTTACTTATCCATTTTTAACATGTAAGTTAATTTAGTGAACATAAAATATCTATGTTAGGTTTTTTCTTTACATAAACAGTCATAATATTTTATAATCAACAGCAATTAATATACCAAAAATCAAGTACAGGCAAAGGTTTTTAGGAATTCAGTATAATTTTTTTTTTTAATTCAAACACACAAGAAAGTAATTTGGTACACATAGACAATCAAAACAAAACATTTCCAAAGCTACATATGGTAACACTCTGAAAACTATTAATCTTTCAATGTCAACAAAACAAACTGCTTCACGACCTTTACAATTTCTGTGTACATTAAATGATCAAATCATAACTATACTGGAAGTACAATTTATCGAGAAATCTGAAAGTTTTATACGAGATTATCTTGTGATTCAATTACGAGTATAACATAACTAATTCTAAATGCCACAAGGATAGTTCTTCCTACAGTCTAGGTTAGGTTAATATAAGGTGTATCGAATCAAATCGAATATAGCTAGACCAAACGGTGACAGTTGGTTAATTGAAAAGCACATAAGCGTGTACGGTACATGCTTTTACTCTTTCGCACCTAGTGCCGAGAGGGTGGTCGAAATTTTACTGTCTCACTCGCACGTTACAGCTTTGTATAAGGACAGGAATTTAAAGAAGTTCCAACTTGTATCCAATTGAGCAACATAATTATTTTCTATAAAGTATTTCAGTAAAAGTATGTTTCCCCTGGGAATGAAGTGAACGCTGGTATTGTTTTTAATTGATTTCACACTTAATTGTATAGAATATTATATAGTAAATTGTTTAAAAAAAAAAGTCCCGCTGGGATTATACTGGTTCCTACCGGGACAGATTTCTTTGCGAACCAGTGGTACAACTAAAATTAATTTTAATAAGTATTCTTGTAATGTGTCTAATCTATAAAAATTAACTTTTGTTTGTTCGTATTTTATGCGCTGCCAAAGCGTTCATCAGATTGCACTAAAACTTTGTCAACTTATTGTTTGCACTTGCGCAAAGGTTATAGGTATAGTACAATGAAATTACAGTAGGTGGCGCGCGTATCGCACCGACATATTGATTTGTAAGTCATACTATGTGATTCAATTTCAATGAATGTATTATCTTTCCTAATTAAACAATATAACTCTACCAAATTTAAAACAATATTTCCACATTTGTTCTGCGGCAGAAATGCGACGCAGGTTCCAGCTAGTATTAAATCAAAAGGATTCTACTCTAATAAATATCCCATTCCCGCATACCATCAATGCTTAATGAGATAGTTTGAGTTTTGGTACCTTTTTTGTAAATATCAGGACAGTGTTTAGAAGCAGTCTTTACAGGATAACGTCCAACTGTAAACTTGTGATGATTTGATCTTTCACCATAAATGCCACTGTTTGGATAGAGCCCATTAAATTCTAAATAGCATGAGAATTTTTTAATAATTTTTTTTTATTATCTTTCCGAAATAAAAAAATGTACATAGAATAAAACTATACATAAAATAACAATGTGCTTATACATTAGAAATATTTTAACGCAGTATTACAAAAATATTCTTCTAGCTTGCTTTGTTAAAAAACTACCAAGTGACAGATATGGCAAGTTACAGCTATATTAGAGTTTAATCACAAGCATAAATATTTTATTGTGTGTTTACAATGAGAAATATAAGAACAATAGTTATCAAAAGTTACAAACAAGCCGTTTGCTGACATTTAAGTGATGTGTATTCAATTATGGAGATGAATATCGATCATTTAGATTCTAATTAATTAATTTTTCTAACAAACCACACTTTGGGCAATGTAAAAATATATTATCAATTTAAACTTTATATCATTTTACCAAAGAACACTTACATTTGCTTTTAAAGTAAAAAAAATAATATGGGATATATTGCAAATGTTATTGTTTGAATAGATAAACAAAATATCTACAATAAAGTCGTGAGACAAAAATGTCGATGTAGCATTTGTTTTAAATGTAAATAGTAGTCATTTATTGCGTACAATTTGTGAATAAGTAAACATTCAATACATTTTTAAATACTTTTATGTAATCTTAATAAAAGTAATGTTTCTATGATATTTCTATCGCACATTTTGCTGTAGTCAAACGTATTTGTAAATATTTTTGTGTTTTTGAATGAACACAGTAATAAACATATACAACTACAGTAATTTTTAATCCTAAGACAAAATATTATGCTTAAAATATAGCATTCGAGCATTTGGTAGTCTATAAGTCACGAATGAATTAAATGTTAAAACGTTTTTATAAGTCGTTTTTTAAATAAAAAGTAAATTTTTATATCGAATAGCATGTTGCAAGAAAATATTAATTTGTCGATATTATTACGTACATCACTAGGGTCATAAAAACTGTAAGTGCAAGCGAGAGGCACGATAAAATATTAACAGTTCCGATTTAAAAAAACTACCATAATTTATTTTTCGTATTTTTAATATTAAAAATAAAACGAACTGGTTTTTTCATACTCCCTAGAGTATATATTTCTATAATTCTATGGTTTAAACAACTAAAAAAATCACACTGACATTTGAAATTTCCGTATTTATTACAAACTATCAATGTAGCACACGAATCGCTCGAGTTGGTGTAAACTCACTCGGTAGGAACATAGAGCAACGATTATAAAATGCAGCTCAGACATAAAGATAAACCCATTTAGTGTATAACCGTGTACTCTATCGTAAAGTGACAGTAAGCCTGCTCGCGGCAACCATTTTGTTGTTAAACTTCCTCTTAAAATTCTCGGCGGCGACGGTTGTCTTGAACGTTATCTTCGCACTGCGCTCTTCTTTATCCAATATCAAACTCTGGAACATCAATCCGGGTTGTTTTCACTATTCCCATCTCAATATACATTTAGCTCTCCTTATATCTATTTACAATTCGGTTCGTTGAAGTGAGAAAAATGATAAGTGACCATAACTTACTCTACGTTTGAAAGAATAAGAAATTCAAAAAGGAGGAAATTTACAATTCGTCTAAATCTATGTTTTTATGTATGTTCACCGATACTCGAAGTTTCTTTGTGAAGAAAATTCTTTTTTTTTTTTTTGTTTCAAAGAGTATACTTCCCATTCCATTTAAATTTTATCGAAATTGGTCGTGCCGTTTTAAAGTAAAAATCAACAATAAATTATATTTATATTGAAGTCGGATATACATTTTTTTTTAAATTTACCACACATGTAACAATTCAGAATTGAATCAAAAATTATTTTAAGACTTGTTACCAAAAAAAAAAAAATTACTTTTTTTTTTTTTTTTTTTTTTTTATAGCAGAGGGGGCAAACGAGCATGCGGCTCACCTGATGGTAAGTGACTACCGCCGCCCATGAACAACCGCAACACCAGGGGAATTGCAGATGCGTTGCCGGCCTTTTAAAAAGGAGTAGGCTCTTTTCTTGAAGGTCCCTAAGTCGTATCGGTCCGGAAAAATCGCTGGTGGCAAACTATTCCACAAGGAAGTTGTGCGAGGAAGAAAACATCTTCTAAATCGCACAGTGGTGGACCGCCAATCATCCAGATGGTGTGGATGGTATCGAGAGTTCCGCCGCGATGTGCGTTCGTGAAATTTGGCGGCTGGGATTAATCCGAACAATTCCTCAGAGCACTCCCCATGGTAAATGCGAAAGAAAATGCTAAGAGATGCAACATCTCTTCGCAGTGCCAATGAGTCGAGCCGATCGGAAAGGACTCGGTCGTCGACGATTCGAGCCGCTCTGCGCTGGATGCGGTCAAGTGGAAGAAGCTGGCACTGGGGAGCCCCAGCCCAGAGATGGGAACAGTATTCCATGTGAGGCCGAACCTGCGCCTTGTAAAGTTGCAGGCGTTGAGCCGGCATGAAATACTGTCCCGCTCTGCTGAGCACGCCAAGCTTTATAGAGGCCAATTTGGCCTTCTCTTCCAAGTGACCACGAAACTGCACGCTACTCGATATGTCGACGCCGAGGATTCCGATACTGGCTGAGGCAACAAGGGGAGTACCTTGAAACTGAGGAGATACGACAAAGGGGTTCTTTTTAGCGGTAAACGCGCAAACTTGTGTCTTCTGAGGATTAAACTGGACTAGATTTAGTCGCCCCCAAACCGAGACTTTGTCCAGCAAAGACTCGACTTCAGACACAAGCTTGTTCCGGTACTCAGTGACGTTTTCCCGAGAAATATTGGCACGGCCGGTGTATAGAGCATCACCAGTGCTGTCATCCGCATAGCAATGAATGCTACCGGCTTGCAACATATCATTGATATGCAGAAGAAACAGCGTTGGTGATAGCACGCAGCCTTGTGGAACACCAGCGTTAATAGGCTTGTAGTCGGAGCATGCACCGTCTACAACGACCTTGATGCTCCGATCTGCAAGAAAGCTGGTGATCCAATTGCATAATTTCTCGGGAAGCCCACAGGAAGGGAGCTTCGAAAGAAGCGCTTTGTGCCAAACCCGATCGAAGGCCTTCGCAATGTCCAGACTAACGGCCAACGCCTCCCCCTTGGACTCTACTGCCTCCGCCCATCTATGGGTCAGGTAGACCAGAAGATCACCAGCTGATCGACCCCGACGAAAACCGTATTGGCGGTCACTAATCAGCTGGTGATCCTCAAGGTACCGGATGAGCTGGCAGTTAATAATGGATTCCATTATTTTGGAGAACAAGAAGGTGATCGCGATAGGCCTATAGTTGGACGGGTCTGAGCGGTCGCCTTTTTTAGGGATTGGGTGGACAAAAGCTGTCTTCCATGAACTCGGGACTACGCCTTGGGAGTAGGAGTACCGGAAAAGACGCGTTAGGACCGGTGCCAACTCCGGAGCACACGTCCTCAGCACAATTGGGGGGATTCCGTCAGGCCCACTCGACTTGTAGATGTCAAGGGAGAGGAGTGCTCTGCGAACCGAGCGCTGTGAGAACCGCACATCCGGCATGGAGCACTCACACCGCGGGATGGTCGGCGGTGTGTTCCCCCCGTCATCAACAGTCGAGTTGGACGCAAAAAGGGAGCCTAAAAGGTCGGCCTTCTCTTTTGCGTCGTGGGCCAGTGAGTCGTCCTCCCTGTGCAGAGATGGTAGTGATGGCTTACAGAAATTCCCTTGGACAGCCTTGGCGAGAGACCAGAATGCACGGGTTCCCGAAGGAAGGCGAACTAGTTTCTCGCCAATTCTGCCTATGTGCTCTGACTTTGCCTTGGCAATAACTCTTTTGAAGGACCTGGAGGCGAAGTTATACTTCTTTTTGAGTGTGCTGGTGTTTACATCCCGAGTCACCGAAGCCGCAGCCCAGGCTTGATAACACTCCTGCTTACTGCGTAATGCAGTCTTACAGGAGCGACCAAACCAAGGCTGAGATCTGCCTCCGATGGGTACCACAGATGATGGAATAAATAGTTCCATTCCCTGTAGCACCACATCAGTGACAGAGTCAGCAACAGCGCTGGGATCATCCGGCGAGAAGCAAACCCGCCCCCATGGGTAGGAAGCAAAGAAAGACCGCATTCCGTCCCAATCCGCCGACCTGTAATGCCAAACACGGCGGCAACCTGCAGAACGCAACCGCGAGGGGAGCGTGAGTGGCACCACACTCCGGATCAGACAATGGTCCGAAGAGCCAAGAGGGGCATCGACGGAAACCTGATATCCGTCCGGATGAGAGGTCAGCAGAAGGTCCAACAGGGAAGGTGTATGATCCTCAACATCTGGAATCCGCGTAGGCGATGTAACCAGTTGTGTCAGACCATATGCCAAGGCAAAGTCATAAACAGATCTCCCCGCATGATCGGTTAAACGTGAACCGAGCCATTCGGCGTGGTGGGCGTTAAAATCGCCAAGGATCACGATCTCTGCGGATGGGACCTGTTGTAGCAAGGAATCTGTAGCCATTTGGACGTGGTCGATGAGTCGGTCTGTTTCGGCATTACCGCTATGGGACCTATAGAGGCACGCGTAGACGCGCGGATGGTCGTCGCTGTCTACGCGTAGCCAAAGGATGGACAGGTCCGAACCTTCAAGACTGCCGAGGCGTCGAGAACAGATGTCCTCTCTGACATACACGCAAACTCCAGCCCGAGGCACAAAGGAATGCTCCAATTTGTACCCCGGGTAGGAGAGATACGAAATATCAGCCGGAGAGGACAGCTGCGTCTCGGTCAGAAAGAGCAAGGCCGGCTTCGCCGTCTCAAGATGGTAGTGGACGGCGTTTAGGTTCGAGTGAAGTCCCCTGATGTTGCAGAAATTCACGGATAGCGTGGCAGGGGTCGCCTTGGTCTTGTTGCTCAGTTTGCCCCGAGCAGTTATTGTGCTGAGCGGAATTTTGCCCCCCCCAGAATACGCGGGGCAGCCTGAGCACCCACGCTCAGGAGTGGAATAGCATGGTCGTGGATGCTCAGCGAGGGATTCTCCAGGGGTACTGGTACCCTCCTGGGGTAGTTCATGACGTAATTCCGCTACCATGTTGATGGGGGGGGGGAATTGGGCCTCCGGTCACCTGCACTCACCAGACGAAACGCGGAAGCAGAGCTTCCACTTCACGCCGGTATTCTGTGAGGTCGTGGTACTAACCCGGCTCGAGCCGGCCCATACGTGCAACAGCAAAAGCTGCTGCAAGGCTCTACCACCGTTCAATTACCACTATACTAATTATCCAGTTTATCCTTTTTTAGATAAACTCTTATTACATTAATTATGTCAATTTACACAATTACCTACATATAATTACTTTTATCACCATCATCATTCGATAGTGATGTTGAATTGGTTAAAAATATGTATAGGAGCTACAGAAACATTAAAACATATATTAAGGAATCTTGGTAAAACCTCTTTTTAACGCCCGATGAAAACAGAGGCGTGTTATAATATGTTTGTAGTGTGTATCTGTTCTGTGTGTGTGTATCTGTGTCTGTCTGTGCTCCTGAGCGGATGAACCGATTTTGATTATGTTTTTTTTTTGTTTTCAAAGGTGATTTAATCGAGAGTATTCTTTGTTATGTTTCGAAGGTTTTGAATATGTTTAATTTTAGTTATAAGTAAACTTGCCTCACAGTGTCCCTTACTAGTGATTGTGTATATAAATATATGACTTTCGGAGCGGAGGTAATGGTCATTTAAATTTTTTCTAACTTCATTATTTAAGCAATTTCAATGTAATAAAAATTTTAATATAAAATATAACTTGATCTTAGAAATAATGTCTCGATGTTTATTTAGCTTAATAATCATAATTCAGCGCCATTAGTATTTAGACACGTGATAATTTTGACGAGATACAATATCATTTATAACAAATAGAATTATTAATTATTATACAGGTGTGTTACGTCCTGTAGACATTTTATGATGTTATAATTGTGTATTTCTGTTGTATTAGTGCATATTATTTGAGAAATATATTATTCAAATTAACTTAGTTATGAAGATAAGATATTATGTTGTAACAAATATAAATACATTGACTAGACTTAAAATTCGTTCTTTTAGTATAAAAACATAAAAATATACATGCATAATTGTGTATATTATTTTTACAATAAAGTTGTTTTCTCACATTATTAAGGTCAAAATATCATAAATTAAAAATTAAAATATCACAGATACATCCCTGTATAGATCTCTTAAAACAAACCTTTATATTATGTATACTTTACACAACAATGTGTTAAGTCTGCCGCCATTTTGTGACGTCATAGCTGTCAAATTAGTTCTCATTTGAGTATGATTTAAGTATGATGTGCAAAATGGTAAATACAAAATATATTATGTAAAATAGGATGATTAATTTATTATTTGTACTAGGTACTCGCTTAGATAAAGAAAGGAATT